ACTACTCAATGCCTATACAGTAAAATACCATTCATTTAACACAAATATTTATTGAGTTTATTCTACGGCCAGATGCTGCACTAGGTGCCATGGCTACAACAGTAAAAAATATTGTCTGTGCTCTTAGGGAATGTATTAGGTAATGGGAAAAGACACACATTCAAATAGTATGGAAAAGTGCTCTGATTAGTGTAACTACAGAGGGTTATGAATGTACCTCATCAGCCTTGGAGAGTCAAGGAGGTGTATTTAAAGAAAATGACTTCTTCAAGAGAGGTAAGTGGGAGATAGCTGGATCCTAAGAGGAGATAAGAGTTAGGGAGAGCAGAAAGAGGGGCCAGGGAGGAAAGGAAGAGATATCCAGGCATAGAAAATATGAGGTAGAGTGACTTAGAGGAGAGTATGGTGGGTTTGGGAGCTGGAAGGGATTCTGAACTACAAGTGGAGTGTGAGGGGAATAACCAAGGAACAAGACTGGAGATGAAGGCATAGGGTGGATGGTGAAGGGCTTTGTGCATTCTGCCAAGATGTATGACCCTGGTCCTGACATCCTTCTCCCTCTCACTCTGTTTTGTTTTTCTTTACTCAGATAATCAGCAACGTTACAGTCTTGAATTTCCTTCAGTCTCTGGGATATCTGTACACTAAAGAAGAACTGCTGGAATCAGAGCTTGATGTTTTGAAGTCCCTGAACTTCCAAATCAATCTTCCCACTCCTCTGGCCTATGTGGAGATGCTCCTAGAGGTTTTAGGTACTTTGTTAAGTGTGTCAGGGAATGTGAGTTGGAGACTTCCATAGAAGGCAATAATAAATGTACAGAGGGTTTTGGGAGCAGTAGGAAGCCTGAAAACAGTGTTCCTTCTGGCACTTGTCAAGGAAAGAAACTCAGAGGTCTCAGCTACTGGTTTCTATTTGGATTTATTAAGCACTCTTTATTTTTTTTTTTTAGATTGAGACAAAGTCTCACTATGTCGCCCTCAGTAGAGTACTGTAGCATCATAGCTCACAGCAATCTCAAACTCCTGGGCTCAAGCGATTCTCCTGTCTCAGGCTCCTGAGTAGCTGGGACTACAGGTGCCCACACAGTGCCTGGCTTTTTGTTTTAGCAGGTCTGGGCTGGGTTCAAACCCACCAGCCCTGGTGCATGTTGCTGGCGCCCTACCCACTGAGCTACAAGTGCTGCCCTATTAGGCACTCTTACTGCAGGATCAAAGAGTTGATTTTATGGAAAGGCCTAAGAAAAGAACAAATGTACTCTTAATTGTATAGATACAGTAGATGGAGATTTCCTACTTCCCTTTGTTGGCTAGGTGAAGTGGATTACACCTATATTCCTAGCACTCTAGAAGGCCAACGCAGGTGGATTTCTTGAGCTCAGGAGTTCAAGACCAACCTGAGCAAGAGCAAGATTCCATCTCTACTAAAAATAGAAAAACTAGCCAGGCATAGTAGCACACACCTGTAGTCTCAGCTACTTGGGAGGCAAGGCAAGAGGAATGCTTAAGCCCAGGAGTTTGGTTTTTGTTTTTTGAGACAGAGTCACCCAGAGTCACAACACCCAGTTATTTTTAGAGACAGGGGTCTTGCTCTTGCTCAGGCTGGTCTTGAACCTGTGAACTCAAGCAATCCATCCTCCTCAGCCTCCCAGAGTGCTAGGATTACAGGCATGAGCCACTGCATAAGCCCAGGAGTTTGAGGTTGCTATGAGGTATGACGTTACAGCACTCTACCCAGGCTGGCAGAGTGAGCCGGTCTTTATTTATTTATTTATTTATTTATTTTTGAGACAGAGCCTCAAGCTGTCCCCCTGGGTAGAGTGCCGTAGCATTACAGCTCACAGCAACCTCCAACTCCTGGGCTCAAGCGAGTCTCCTGCCTCAGCCTCCCAAGTAGCTGGGACCACAGGCACCCGCCACAATGCCCGGCTATTTTTTGGTTGCAGCCATCATTGTTGTTTGGCGGGTCCGGGCTGGATTTGAACCCGCCACCTTAGGTGTATGTGGCTGGCGCCTTAGCCACTTGAGCCACAGGCGCCAAGCCGAGCCTGTCTTTAAAAAAGAAATAAGAATTTCTACTTCTCTTTGTCCTTTAAAATTGATCTCCAGCTAAACAGATTTGTTTTTCTTTGTCTGAGACACAGTCTCACTCTGTCACCCTGGGTAGAGTGCAGTAGTGTCACAGCTAACAGCAAACTCAAACTCCTGGGCTCAAGCTCTTGTTTCAGCCTCCCAAGTATCTGGGACTACAGGCACCCACCACAATGCCCAACTAAGTTTTCTATTTTAGTAGAGATGGGGTCTCACTCTTGCTCAGGCTGACTGAAACTCCTGAGCACAAGCAGTCTGCCTGGCTCAGCCACCCAGAGTGCTAGGATTACAGAAGTTAGCCACAACCCTGGTCTAAATAGATTTCTTTTAGTAGAACATAGCAACCAGGAAGCACAGTAGCAGCTCCACAGCTTTATGTCATAAGACAATTGTGGTTTTGATCAGATAAGATCCACTTAGTGCTCCCTACCATGCTCATACTCCATCTAGGATACAACGGCTGTTTGGTTCCAGCTACACAGTTGCATGCAACCTGCCTGACCCTCCTCGACCTAGTCTATCTTCTGCACGAACCCATATATGAGAGCTTGCTGAGGACTTCAATTGAGAACTCCACACCAAGTCAGCTGCAAGGGTAAGGCAACTGCTTATATGGTAGGTTCCCTCCAGGAACAGGGAGTGGGGAACAAACCACAAGAACCAGGGTAATGAAATTAACCTAGCAAGGCATCCGTCTACAGATAGCCTACTCAGGTTACTTGATTCTCATTAACTTTCAATATATTGCTTGGATGCAGTTGACTGAGCCCAATCAGGGAAACCCTAAAGGCTTTTACTTTCAAATTTAAATTATTTCAATTAACTTTTTTTTTAGTTCTTCCTTTATAGCTGCTTATAACTTGAGATTACTGGGCTACTTTTATAGTCACTTGGGAAAAAAAGCCAGTCACAGGGTTACAACCTGGACAAAAGTGTTTGATTACTGTAAAGACAGACTGGTTAAAAGCTTCACAGTTACATTTGTTAGCAAGACAGATGGAACAACAAAAGCCTAACAGGCTACTTTTCAATCCCACACCAGCTAGATGAGGATGGAGGAGCAGGTCAGCGAGCTACTACTTGACCATTTCCTTCCATGTCTAAACATCCATGATCAAAATAATTCATAGTTGAAGTTCTATGATGCTAGGATTTGGAAGATCAAATTTCATTGTAGGTCTAAAATTAATATGGTTTTAATTACTCAGGGAAAAGTTTATTTCTGTGAAGGAAGACTTCATGCTGTTGGGAGTAGGAATCATTGCAGCAAGTGCTTTCATCCAAAACCATGAGTGTTGGAGCCAGGTACGCACCACTGAGCAGAACCATCATGGTCAGATTTAATAGAAAGCAATCCTCCATCAGTTAAAGAAAAACAGAAGACAACATGCAGAAGTGCCAAGACTCAGGATTAGGCTGAGTGAGCAGAATTTGGGGGGGAAACACTAGACAAGATCTGAAATATTTTGTCTAGATTTCCTATGAAATTGGAAATGGACGCCCAAGTTCAGCTTGTTAGTTTCCCTTTAGAGTAATGATCCACTACTATGTTATAGTCCAATAAGTATATATCTTTGCAAATAAAGAAAATATCAAGACCTAATACCCCCCTTGTATGTCACAAAATTTATCACCAACATAAGGAAATGTCTAACAGAAGCTTTCCATGCTAACGCTGTCAGGGCAAGGGTATCCTAATGTAATTTGGTCATTGGCAAACAACGGAATCTGGATTTGATCTTCAAGTTCAGAGAAATGAATTACTTTTGGCTTGAGAGAACATCCCAAGTAATGTGTGTGTACATGTACACTTAACCATGTAGAGATTACTTGGTAATAAGAAATCTGTCTCTATTTCTAAAGGTCACAGGGCATTTGCAGAGCATCACTGGCATTGCCTTGGCAAGCATTGCTGAGTTCTCTTATGCAATCCTGACGCACAGCGTGGGAGCCAACACTCCGGGGCAACAGCAGCCTGTTCCTCCCCACCTGGCAGCCAGAGCTCTGAGGGCTGCTACTTCCTCTAGCACATGAGGCAGGCTGAATCCACCAAATATAAACAGCCTTCCATCACTTCGCTCATGCCTCCCTCTGTTTACTTTCATACTCAGGGTACAAAAGTTCCAAGTTTCTTAAACTGTGTTTTGCATTCCAATTTCATGCTTATTTTTCTGTATCAGAGGAAGTACTGAGGAGAATAAGCATGTCCTTTTTGTCTTATCAGACTGAAAATATCAAAGCGCTAGGAGAAGACAGACTGAAGTTGGTTCATTTTTGTTTAACAAGATTACTTGTGGCTTTTCTTTAACTTAATTTCATTAAGATGGAATGTCAGACATGGAGATTAGTATTAATCAGAGGCTAGACAATGGAGACTGTGACCTTGATTGAGCATCAAGGAGGTAGCTCTTATGTTTAACTTTCTGTTTGGTTGAGATTTATACAAACAGCGCTTCCTCAACAGTTATTTTTATTACTATTATTTATTTATTTAGTTTTGAGAGTCTCATTCTGTCACTATGGGTAGACTGCTATGGGGTCATAGCTGACAGCAACCTCAAACTCCTGGGCTTAAGTGATTCTCTTGCCTCAGCCTCCCAAGTAGCTAAGACTACAGGCACCCACCACTATACCCAGCTAGTTTCCCTATTTTAGTAGAGATGGGGTCTCACTCTTTATCAAGCTGGTTTTGAACTCCTGAGCTCAGGCGATCTACCTGAGCAGTCGGCCTTCCAGAGTGCTAGGCTTACAGACATTGAGCCACCTCCCCTGGTCTAGTGTTTTTAAAACTAAAACTAACTCACCTCTAAACATGTTTGAACAGAAATTCCACATACCTGCACTTGAACTCAATTCTCCCAGAATACAAGGTACTCATTTTAGTTAAAGAAAAACCCAACAGTACACCTTTGGGCAGTTATCAGACTGTAGCAAATCTTTTATTACAAATAATTAAATCTCTCCATAATGTCTCAAACAGTATCAAACACCATTTCATATCTCTAAGACAGAGCAGAGAAGGCATTCAGTACTAGAACCAAGTGAGAAGTGTTAAATTTCAAGCTTCTGATCACATCACATGGCAACCAGGCAAAGCTTAGATGTCATTTTCCCACGTTATCCAACTGTGTGTCTCAAACATATCATCTCAGTGGAGACAAAAGTTTTCTATTTCATATTGTAAGTGCAGGAAGTTGAGAAAGATAAAATCCAGTGAAAACACTGATTTCAATTCAACTCAGTTAAAAAAAAAAAAAAAAGAAAAACAAAAGCAAACTTAAATTAGTTTTTAGGGGAAAAAGGCAAGGGGTTAAGAGTCAAAACTATGACAAAAGCTGGTAGCTATACATAGCATATTGTAGTTCTGGAAACTGTCATATGATATTTTAAAATAATAAAGTGGCTTTTGTGGATTTTTTTCCTTTTTTTGGTATTGTAAACATGTGCTGTTTAATATTACTTGAATTTAATTTAAAACATTTTTGCAAACAAAACAAAATTTAAAGCCTTTAAGGCAAACATCCCCCTAAGGAAAAAAGTCATTTGTTATAAAATTGTGAGGATACCCAAGCAAGACCCCACTTAAGATTCGTCAGCATGAACTTGAGAGCCTTTGTCCACTGTTCCTCAGAGTTAAACTGGGTTTTGATAGAATAGGAGCCACCGCTGCCTCCTGTGTCTTCAATTTTGCCTTTCTCCACATCCATTCTGCAGATGGACAGAGCAGAACTCATTAGTAACAGATCCGAGTTAAGTTAGTTCAGGCAAATGGGCAGGGACTTGATCATGGGACCATTCACGTCATTTTATCTATTAAAGAACGCTTGATGAGGAACGGTAGTGTATTTTGGATTTGCTTGAAAGCCAAAAATCAAGAAGACTGTCACAAGAGCCTCATTGTCATTGCAGAGTACAGGGACAGGACACACACCCAAATAGAAGAGAAGCCTTAAAGCAGGGAGTGAGGGTTACAGTACTCCTCACTGTTTTCCTAGGCATCTATGAACTCACTGGGGGAAGAATGAAGGCAGAAGGAAAGAAATGTTTTGTATTGGGGTGATAGAAGTAGCCTTACTCCAGGGAAGAACTCAGGTTTCTATCCATTGCTGGGCTCCTGCAAAATTCGACCAAAAGAAGCATTCCTGTACATTTCCAAGGGCTTCAGGGAAAAACCTAACTGAAACTAGAGAGCAGGCTTGAGTTCTGTGCCAAGAAAATCCCCAAAACCACCTAAGGCAACATTATTTTACTCCAGGGACTAGGTGGTCACATTCTGTCCTGTTTGCAGTGTTGGATCAGTTTTTGCCCATCAGTGTCATATGATTCTGCACCACTTTTTGCTTTCCTACCATTTATACTATGTTTTGCCTCCATTCTTACTGTCACTTTAATTCTGTCCAATTTGGTCCTACGGTAGGTTTAGTCAGTTTTGGGGGATACTGACCTGTAAGGAAGACAAAAACGTGTCTCGCCTTTCTCAACCTCTTCTTTGAACTGCTGCACACAGTCCAGGAAAGCCACCATTGCATGGTCAAACTTGTTGTCCCAGAAAAATCGCAACCCCCCAGAACAATATAAAGGCAACTCCTGCCAAAGAAGAGAGAACTGGCTATTGGTATGGCACCAAGACAGCCTACCAGAGACTGTTTCCAAACATATCAAGTCACGCTCTGTGTGTACCTCTCTGGGAAACACGTATTGTAGATGGACTATCTTCTGTAACCTTTAAAATACAATAATCTTGGGCAAAACCAATGCACATAGAACCATTTCAGTAACAATGGAAATGTACTAATCTGAAAATCTGAAATCCAAAATGCTCCAAACCTGAAACTTTGTGAGTACCAACATGATATCACAAGCGGAAAATTCCACATCTGACATCTTTGTTTTCTGATGGTTCAATGTACACAAACTTTGTTTCATGTACACTATTACTTTAAATAATGTATAAAATTTCCTTAAGGCTATGTGTATAAGGTATTTGTGAAATACACGTGAATTTTCTTATTTAGACTTGGATCCCATCTCCAAGATATCTCATGTTTTTGTTTTTTATTTTTTTCAGTTTTGGCCAGGGCCGGGTTTAAACCCGCCATCCCCAGTATATGGGGCGGGTGCCCTACTCACTGAGCCACAGGCGCTGCCCAATACCACATTATTTATATGCAAATATTCCAAGATCTGAAAAAAAATCCCAATGTTTGGGTCCAGACATTTTGGATAGGGATTCTCAGCCTGTAAACATCTGTATTACAATGATTCTTTGCCTATCCCAGTGCACACATCCTCCTTTGAGCTACCCATATCCCTTCTCCATAGACTGTAAAAACCTGATTTTTTCTTATGAGCTCCAAAGAGCTAAACATGAATTCTGTGTAAACAAGATACCGAACACAATAAGAACCAAAGTGAATACCAGTATCAAAGCAAACCATCCATTTTGTTAGAAGATCTAAGAACTCTGTATTCCAGTGAAAATGGAGTATCCCAGAATACCTTAGATTTGTCTGTCAGAGACTCCAGATATGAATGGTTTCCATAAGGAACAAGTCGATACCTAGAATGGAGATGCAAACAGAAATGGATACAGGAATCTTCCTAAAGTGATCTTTGGGAAGTTATAAAAGAATGATTTTCACTCTTTGTTCTACCCAAGAACTTTTTTTTTTTTTTTTTTTGGAGACAGAATCTTTCTATGTTGTCCTCAGTAGAGTGCCTTGGCGTCACAGCTCACAGCAACCTCAAACTCTTGGACTTAAGCAATTCTCATGCCTCAGCCTCCCAAGTGGCTGGGACTACAGGTATCTGCCACAATGCCCGGCTATTTTTTTGGTTATCACTGTGTTTAGCTGGCCTGGGCTAGGCTCAAACCCACCTGCCTCGGTGTATGTGGCTGGCACCCTAACCACTGAGCTACAGGTGCCAAGCCCTACCCAAGGACTTTTATTATTATTATGTATTTTATTATTTTCAACCCTCTTTCCCACTTCCTCATGTTTAAAAGATTTTGTTTAGTGAACTACATTTATTATGTAACTGTCTGGGGATCTTTCAGAGGCAAATATTACATTTTGGTTTAGATTTAAAAAACAAAAACTGGCTTTGCGCCTATGGCTCAAGCAGCTAAAGCGCCAGCCACATACACCTAAGGTGGCGGGTTCGAATCCCCAGCCCGGGCCCGCCAAACAACAATGATGGCTGCAGCCAAAAAATGGCCGGGCGTTGTGGCGGGCGCCTGTAGTCCCAGCTACTTGGGAGGCGGAGGCGGGAGACTCGCTTGAGCCCAGGAG